GGAGCAAAGGTTGGACCGACAGGCTGTCAGCCGGGCTGGAGGGGCAGAGCCAGGTCAGATCACCCAGGGGCTGGAATGCCAAACCCCCAGCTTTGCTGCCTGCCTTGGTTTCCTCCACCGAAAGGCCAGAGAGTTCCACCCAGCAGGTCTTGGGCTGATTCTAAGAAGCCTCGGCCCTCCCTCCCCTAATCCGTCCGGAGGGGATCAGGGAGGAGGTGGGGGACCTGCTGGCCCCCGGCTTGCCCCCACCTCTGCCTCACGCCTGGGCGGCCTGCACAGCCCTCTCCCAGGACGCTGCAGGTGTGGCTGGGCAGGCCCTAATTAGTGGGCTTCGAGGAGCCCCGCTGAGCCTTTGACAGGGGAAGGCAGCGGGGAGATGGGGGCAGGGAGGGGCGCCAGGCCTGCAGCCCTAAGTGCAACCCCGAGTGTCAGCTAGGACAATGGAGAAGGGGAGGGGGCAGAGCAGAGGGAGGGAGTGTCTGCAAAGTCTCAGGAAGACCTATTGAGGGAGTGCCCCTCAGAGGTCTTCTGGGCCAGCCCCCTGCCTCCAGCATGACCCTGTCCCCCTTCACCTCACCAGGGTTGACCAGTAGGTCCCAAGGCTGGGGGAGTGCCACAGGATGCTGACTGACTTGTGGTGTGCCCCAGGAGAAATCAGCCAACTTCTGGGCCTCAGTTGGCCACTGCATGCGATGGACACAATCAGTTGGGGGTGGGTACACACAAAAAGCCTGGCTTCCCGACAAGGACACCTTTGTTGCTCAGCCACCACCTTGGCTGTGTCCAAACTGGACAGCCTTGAAGAAAAGATGTTCTCTAGTCTTACTGGGGAGACACAGAGCTCTGGTCTGAGGGGGGAGACATAATCCATCTCATTAAGGACCACAGCCTGGGGAAGACACCTCTAGGGTGCCCGCCGGGGGCTGTGGGACTTCAGAGGGAGCAGAGCCAGGGGGCTACAGGACTCAGTCAAGGGCAGGGCGTTGAAGGATATGAAAAGCCGGATGCTGAACAGAAACAGCCAGAGTGGATTATCTGCAGTGAAGGGCCCAGGCTATGGAGTGAGGGACTCATTTAGAAAGCCCAAGAGAGAGAGCCAGGCCTGTGCCTCTGGAAACCCAGAAAGCCAGCTTACGGCTGAGGCTGGTGGGATGGGCTGGGGGCTCACAGACCGAGGGCCCTGCCGCAGGCAGCATTCCTCCTGGCCTCTGGGCTGCCCCCAGCTGCTCACCACTGCTCCCCCCACCTCAGGTGCCCTCCCCAAGGTAGCGCTGTGGGGATTTCCACAGGTTTCCCAGAAAGAAGCTGTGAAATGGGGGAAGCCCGCTGTGAAGAAAGGGAGGAAGGTGAAGGACTTGACTGACTCTGAGGCAGAATTGGAAAGAGTTCCCTGGAGCTTTGTGGACCTTGAGCCCCAACTGCCCCCCGCCCCCCCGCCAGCCCTTTTGGCCAGTCTGGTATTTTCTCTATAGGGCCAGCAAGAGGCCAGCTCTTCCCAGGGCTTTTTAAAATGAGGCTCTGTTCCACTGTGCCTCGTCCCTTGGGGTGGCCTAGAGAGAAGCCAGAGTGGAGAACGCCAGGAGAGGGTGGAAGGGGAGCAAAGGAAGGCAGCAGTGGAGCGTACTTGCCAGAAAGTGGGCTGTGAAGGGCAGCAACTGTGCAAGGACTGGGGCTGAGGGAGTGGTTTTTGAGATGGGAGATACCAGGGGCGCCTGGGTGGCTCGGTGGTTAAGCATCTGCCTTCGGCTCAGGTCATGGTCCCAGGGTCCTGGGATCGAGCCCCCACATCGGGCTCCCTGCTCGGCGGGGAGCCTGCTTCTCCCTCTCCCTCTCCCCCTGCTTGTGTTCCCTCTCTCGCTGTGTCTCTCTCTATCAAATAACTAAAATCTTAAAAAACAAAACAAGATGGGAGCCACCAGAGCTTGCTTGATGGGAGTGCCAACAGAGGGGGCCGCGGGCCCTCTGCCCCAGAGAGCAGTCATCTCTGGGGATGGCCCCCGGGGCAGGGAAGGTTGGCCTAAGAGGGAAGGTTGGATAGATACCTCCTCCTGTCCTCTGAAGGAAGCTGAAGGAGTTCCCCTGCTCCAGGTCCAAGCCCGAAAGGACGAGTCTTCTCGTGCCCTCTTGTTCTTGAGTTTTCCTAGCAGTCCGTAAGCTCAGAAGAGCCTTGCAAACATCCCCACAAGGATCGCCTTGCCCAGTCGGTCTTCCTAGACCAAGGCCCAGGGAAAGGAACATAGATCAGATGAGGGGTTTGACCACTGAGCCCCAGATTGGGGAAGACGTGAGCTGGGGACGTTTAGTTTCTCTTAGTGTGGGGTGACTTGGCACCAGGCTTGCACGGAAGCATGAGGGCAAGTGGCTGAGATCCCAGCCCCAGCTCCGCCACAAGCATGCTGGGTGATCCTGGGCTAGCTTTTTCACCCCCATTCTCCTCTGCTTTTGAAAAGAGGGTTAGACCACTGTCCGCTCTGACGTTCTTCCGACCTGAGTGACCCAGTGACCGTACAGACACTCTGACCACCCTGCCTTGTCAGGGCGCCTCATCTCAGCTGGTCCACGGGTGCCTCCCAGGGACCCCAGGGAAGAGCTGTATATCCCAGGGTCGTGGGTGAGGGAGAGTTCCACAGTCTCCCAGCTAGCCTCCAGCAGAACCAAGATAGGTTTCCTGTCTGCCAGTCCATGGCTTTCCTGTTGGGGTTCCCCAACACTGGAGTTAGAGGCTGTCTGTAAGCTGAGCTCATTTCTCCATTTGTGGGTCTCTCCAGTGACTAGGACTAGGGCATTCTTCTTCCTCCTTCCTTGTCATTCTTTCCTCTCCCCCCACAGGCACTCAGGGAGCCCAGGTTGTCCAGGATCCCCCCTGGCAAGGCCTTGTGACGAGGCAGGGACCCTGACTGGTTTTTCTCACCGGTGCCTGCCCACCCCACCACCGCCCCCCGGGCACACATGCTCACAGACACAGTGCTCAGTCAGTGTCGAGTGACCCCGGAGGGCCGCAGAGGGAGGGCAGTTCTCCCCTCATCTCTAGCTGGGGGCCAGAAGCTTTTGGAAAATGCTGTGGGTCTGAGAGGAGGGAGTGGGTAAGATGCGGGCTGAGGCCAGAGGGGAAGAGGGGAAGCAGCCTCAAGATAAGAAAGACTTCTTCGGGGCTGAGGGGGAGGAGAGGACTCTGAGGGGCCTTTGCCCTCACCCTGGCCCTCCTCCAGCCTCCTGCAGGTGTCCAAGCCGGCAGGGGGCCCTGCGGGCAGGGGCATGACCCTTACAGCAATGGTGGCTGGCCCTGTCACAGCTAATGACCCTGACAGCCCAGACTGGGAAGGGGGTGGGGGTGGTGCTTACAGGGAGGGAAAGCAGAGGATGCATCTGTGTGCGTGTGCGTGCGTGTGTGCGCGTGTGCGCGCGCGCGCGTGAGTGCGTGTGGGTGGGTGTGTGTGTGCGTGTGCGTGTGTCTGGGTGTGAGACCCTCACCTACCTCCACCCCTCCCCCAGCCTACAGGACCGTGTGCAGCGTCAATGGGCCCCTGGTGGTGCTGGACCAGGTCAAGGTAAGATTTCCACTTCTTCCCAGGGCTCCCCAGCCCCTGTGCAGGATTTCTTCTAAATTGCCCTGCTCCTAGCTGTCTCCCAAGGGCCCACCCATCCCTTGTAATTCTGTCACCCATCCCCACGTTCTTCCTCCCCAGCTGTCTCCCCAGCCACCCCCGGTTTCCCTTCCTGCATTTTCAGTGCCCCCCCTCACTCCCGCTCTGGGCCTTCAGGGACCCACACCTACCACCAAGGACCTGGGCGATCTAGGCTATTGTGCCTCTTTATCAGTGGGATGGTTGTATTGAACTTGCTTACACGGCTGGACTCTTCCATCAGCTGCTTCTTTTCAAAGGAAGGGAAGGCAGAAGAGCAACGCCAGCTAACTCTTCTCCAGAGCTCGAGGTTTTCAGAGGCTTTTGGAATATCTCAGCCTGGGAACCAGCAGCATGGGTGGGCAGTAAAGTGGGCCTCCCAGAAAGAAATGGGATGTGTGGGCTCCTTTGTGTCCCCTGGGGAACCGCAGGACCATGGCAGAGATTGATAGCATTTTGAGTCTGGGGTTGGGGATTCTTAAGGCATAAAGGGCCCTGCAAAAGTATGAGGTCACTCTGCTGTCCCCCTGCCACCAAACATTTCCAACCCCCAGGCTCCCACCCCATGCCACCCATCCCAGACTGGAAAACTGATGCCACCCTGAGTCATCCCTTCCTCGACCCCAGTCCATCAGTGCCAATGACCTGTGAGCAATCTCCCACCCCACTGCTCCCTGATTATGGCCATGGCCTCTGGGCCCCCAGACTGGGGCCCTCCTGTCCTCCATGCTGCCCCCCTGCAACCTGAACCCCTTCGCTTCCCTGCTTCAAACTCACCTAGTACTCCCAGCGCCTTCACCTTACAGGCGCCACATTCTGTAAGGGTTCGTGCGCACCTCCCCAGTCTCATGCCGAATCCTCTCCCCTCTCTGCGTGGAAATCCACCCTGCCTCTGCATGGAGCTGCCATTTGATGTCTCTAGGCCTTTGCTCATATTTTCCCTCTGTCTCTCCCACTACCTTTCCCCCATACCTTCCTCTGACTCACCCCCAGGGCTAGCTGAGAGGTCACTTCTAGAAGTTTCGCCCAGGCCCCTGGGCAATGAGCCTGTCCCTCCTCTCCCTCTTCTGTACTGTCCCGTTGGCAGCTCCATCAAGCCATTTGATCACCACCTGGTCACATGTCCCCTCACTGCCCCCACAATGTCCCTCCAATTGCACATTACTCCTGAGCCCCCGGAGCCCCACACTGTACTTCCACTGAACACCCAGTCCATTGTGGGTGCTCAGTTTGTTCAGAGGAAGGGTGAGTAAATGAATGAGAGGCATGAATGACTAAATCCAACCCTTTCATTCCTGGAAACCAGATTCCGAGTTCATACAGATCTTCCCGTTTGACCCACTAGCCTCGGGGAGGCGCTGGGAGGGAGCGTGATAGAGTGTTTACGCGTGTGCACGCGGGGGTCACGCAGTCTGACTCAGGCTCTCCAGCCCACCCTTCCCACTAGCTACCTGTCAATTCTAGATCGGCAGCATCAGTACTACCTGAGAACTTGTTAGAAATACGGATTCTAGGGCTCCTATCCCAGACCGACAGAATCAGAAACTCTGGGGTGGGGGGACGTGGGGTGGGGGGAGGATGGAAAAGTCAGTCTTTAAAAGCCCTTCAGGGGCTGTGATGCTCCCTGAAGTTTGAGAAGCATCTATTTAGGCCTGCAAACTCTAGTTTCCTCATCTAGTAAATGATCAGAGAGTTATTGTGAGGATCAAATGAGGTAAATGTATTTTTATGAGTCCTCCTTGAGAACGGTTAGCACTCACTCTGCTTGGAATGCAGAAGTGCTAATACGCCTGATTAAACAGTTGGTGCTGTCTGCTGCCCCCTCATGTGGTATGGAGAGTCAGTACCTTCACAGACATCCACTCTCCCGACTACTAAATGGGACTAGACTAGGAAATGAGATAGATCCTCAGACCTGTGTCTCTGTGATTTTTAGATGCATCTGTAACTCTCTTAGAACGGACTAAGTGGTTGATGGAGACACCCAGAGAACCCTGAACTTGCAGAGGGAAAAATCAGTTATATATAGTCTCATAAGTTCAGGAGATGGAGAAGACAGCTTTATGTACCCCTCTCCAGATTCCACACCTCCTTCCCTCTTCCCTAGTGGCTTTGGCAAAATGCCACAATTCCTCCTCTACAGCGCCACCTTCTGCCCAAGTCGAACCACACCAGTAATTACGCTTCCTGCTTCCATTTTTCTCAAATGGAAAAATGCTTGCGGGGGGAAGAATTTTATGCAGATTGGAAGTTCCTAGCCCAGGGAATAAGGGCCTCGAGATTGTACGCAAACCTTTGAAGCCGTGTATCCGTGTGCCTGTGCATTTTTCTAGAGGTAGTTTCCACATTTCCATCTGATTTTTGGAGGTGTGAGTGTAGGCTGTAAAATGCCGAATGCTAAACCCCTGAGTGTAGACTGTAAAAATGGCCCCGCTAGATTATTAAACATCCACACTCCCAGCCCTGATCTCACAAACGGTCACACACAGGTTGTGCAAGCATTAAAGAGGAGTCCGGTTAGTGGACAGCCACCTGCCTGGGATATGTTAGAGAGATTTCACTAGAGCAGCGGTTTTTAAACTTGAGCACACATGAGAATCCCCTGGAAGGATTCTTTGGGTCCCGACCCAAAGTTCTGATCCAGCAGTCTGAGGTTGAGGCCCAAGAATCTGCATTTCCGGCAAGTTCCCAGGTGCTGCTGCTGGGCTGGGGAGCACACTTGAAGATTGACTGCTCTAGAAGATCTTCTTCCAACTGCTGTGTTTTGATGCAGACCAGTCCTTATTGAGACTTGAAGATAGCACTCACCTTATCCACCTGACTTGGTTCCAAATGTCTGTGGCTACTTCCAAACTTTTAAAAGAAAAAGCTTTCAGAAGCATGTATATCAGCTCTGAAGACAATTTCCAAAGAGGGCTTCCCAAACTGCCTTGGGCATTGTCAGAAGGAAATGACTGGAGGCCAGGGCTTAGTCCTGCCAGGCTTGCTAAGAACTTTCCAGTCGGCCGAGTGCAGGAGTGTGAGTGTGGGCAGCAGCTCCTCTCTGCCTGACCCCTGGCTGGCTGAGAACTCAGCAGAATCCCCAGCGGAGGACACGGGTGGCACTGAACTATCCCCACCCCCTGTGGTCCTCCTAGGGACCCAGGGTGGGAGTTGAGAGAATCAGGCTCTGAAATGGGGTTCCTCTGAGTATAAGCTCATTGTCGCACCCTGGAATTCTCCCCCTGCACTCCCGGTTGTAACTGGCTGTGACCACCCCTGCCCCCCACAGATAACTCTCGCAGACACACACAGAAGAGCCTGGTACTCTCTTCCTAGAGGGTTCCAGACCACACCCTCCATGACGGGGTGTGATGGTTCTGACCTGGCTCTGCCCGTTCTCCGGCGTCCGACTGCAATCTCTCTGCTATGCACAGTTCATTTCCTCTGATTTCACTGATTTCATCTTTCAGGGACACACAGGGCGCCACCTCCTCTCCGTTCCCCTTTCTTCTGCCCTCCCTCACCCACATAAACCCACATAAAAAAGGAGGATTTTATCAGTCGGCTGCCTGGTTTTTATCGGGCCCTGGCCTGCGCTCTGTCGGGCAGTTTTTCTCCCGAGGCCCACCGGACAAGGAGGCCGGCGGCTGCCTCGGAGAGAGAGACGAGCCCGCAGAGCGGCCGCGGAAAGCCAAGGACCTGCAGTCAACGTCGGTCCCGGGGCCTCCCAGCCCTGGCTCTTGGGCGCCCTCTTGTGGTTACCGAGCCAAAGACCACTAGACTTGAGCTGCCGCGCAGACCTCAGCGCCTTCCTCCTGGGGCCGGCCCTGCTCTCCCGGCAGCCCAGCTCCGAGGGATGGTTTGGGGGAGAACGAGGGCGCTTTCCTGGCCTCCGAGGAGGGGCCTGAGCCGAGCTTCCTCCAGTGACCGTCAGAGCTGCAAACGCTCTGGTCTCAAGTTCCACCCTCCCACGCCCGCAGGGGTGCGCTGGGGGAGTGTCCCCCTCCTCGCACCCCGTTAGGAAATTGAGCCATCCACACACACCCCCAGACCCTTAACGTCACTATGCTAGGTAGAGCGGAGTATTTAATATAGTAAGGATGGTGATAACCAGTCGCACTGTACTTGAACATCCCAAATTACATTTTAATTACCAAAAAACAAAAATAAAAAACATGTTCCTTTTAACTAGTGAAAGAAAAGACAAGTTAACTGTCCCTAACCTCTTTATTCCCAGCCTCTTGAGATAACCAAGGTAAAGATCCTGCTATAAAGAGGCAAATAAGGTGCATGTTGGAGGTTTACATTGGTGTCAGTCTCTTAAAAACATGATTCCCTCATGTCAGTAGCATTCTTCTTGATAGCGGTGCGGTAGCCTGGACGTTCTGCGATTGATTCGGTGGTTCCGTTACTGGCAGACATTCGGTGTGTTTCCAGGCTTTGCTATTGCAAATAGTACAGCAAAATGTACCCCTTTCATACTGGGGACTTTATTGCTATAAGGTAGATCCCCCAAAATGAAATTGCTGCTTCAAGGTGTATATTGATTTTAAAATAGATTTTAAATAGATACTGATGATTTGGGGGCAACATTGCTAGCCCAGCAATGTTGTGGGGATTCACATTCCCGTCAGCCATGTGTTAGAGGACCCACTTTCCAGCATCCTTGCCAGCCCCAAACATGTTCTCTCCTGGGATTTTGCCTATCTAATCAATGAGAATAATACTACCTTGTTTTTTATTTACATTTGAGTATCTTTTTGTGTGTTTGGATTTCACTTTCTCCTCTGTGAAATCTTCCTACAAATTGAGGTGTACATTTCGAGTTTGTGGGAGCTCTTTGTTTATTGTTCACATTTTTTTATTAAGACTTCATTTATTTGAGAGAGAGAAAGATACCGAGAGAGAGCATGGGCAGGGGGAGAGGGAGAAGCAGGCTCCTG